GTCCTTATGGCTTGTAAAACTTGCACAAATGGCCCTTTTCACTAACTCTGTTAGTATTCTGCCATTAGGGACTAAATTTATAAGAACATTTTCGTCTTTTCAAATATAGATGGACTGAATTCGTGATATTTGATAAACCACAGAGACCATTTTTGTAATTCGTCTAAAAATAATAAAAATGCTAGAAAATCAGGGGAGGAGGATTCGAACTCGGGACCTCCTCCCCCTCACCCTAATCAAACTAAGCCTTACGCCACTAAGCTGCAGTCAAACATTGTTTTTTATTACTAAAATTAAATTTTATTACGTAAAATCGCAAAAAAGATAAATAAAAAATAAATTACAAATTGTTTTACATAAAACCTTTTTTTTAATAAAACAAAATGTACTTTTACGTATTGTAGAAAAAATAAAATTTTACAATTAGTTTATATGTTTTTTTACGTATTTATTTTATGTAAAATAATTTTTTATGTATTTAAAAATACATTTTCGTACAATAAGTTATTAATAAAACAAAATGTATTTTTACGTATCATAGAAAAAATAAATTTTTACAATTAGTTTATATGATTTTTTTTATTTAAAATGATATTTTTATGTATTTGAAAAGGGAATATGACTTATCAAGGTAATCAACTTTTCGGTATGTTTACATCTGGGTAACTATCTTTTTTTTTTTGTACATATCTAGGTAACAAACTTTTTGGAAGTGTTCACATATGACCATTATGACCTGCTATAGCAGGTTAAATCCTAGATGTGAACGCTTTCACCAAGTTTGTTATCTAGATATGTACAAAAAAAAAATAGTTACCTAAATATAAACAAAATGAAAATTAAAAATTAAATTACATGAATGGTTCCTGTGGTTTGCGGGCATTTGTGGTTTTGGTCGCTAATTTATTTTTTTTAACTTAAATGGTCCATAATATTTATTTTTTTTGTGCGTTTGGTCCCCGTCTTACCTAAAAATACTATTGTGCCCTTATTAATTAATTTTTTTAATTAATTTTCTTATCTATGTATTTTTTTTTTATATATTTAAAAAAATTAATAGACCACACATATTTGTATCTCTCCTCGGATGATCTCTATTGTTTATTTTTAATTAATTTATTTTTTTTTAACTCGGATGATCCTTATTGTTTATTTTTGTTACGCGTTTGGTCTCTGTGTTATCTAAAAATACTATTTTTCCCTTATTAGTTTTTTTAATTAATTTTCTTATTTATGTATTTATTTTTTATAAAAAAATTAATATACCCCACATATATGTATCTCATCACCGTAAACCTGAAACCACATTTGAGAAATTTAATTTGAGTCTTATCATTCACCATCTCATCTCTGATCATCCCCATCTTCTATTTCTTTTCCATCTTTAGTAACATCGACGTCTTCACCGTCATTCTTTTTTTTTTGGTACTTCAACTATGGCGAACCAACACCATAACCTACTGTTTCTTCATCTTTAGTGGGTTGTGGTGTTGATTCGACGGAGTTGAAGGACCGAAAAAAGAAGTGATGATGAAGACGTCGATATCACTAAAGTTGAAAAATAAATAGAAGTTGAGAATGATGAAAGATGGAATGGTGAGGAGATACAAATATGTGAGGTCTACTAATTTTTCTTAAACATATAAAGCATTAGTACATAAACAAGAAAATTAATTAAAAAAAATAATAAGGGCACAATAGTCTTTTTAGGTAAGACAGAGACCAAGTTCATAACAAAATTAAATAGTAGGGACCATCCGAGTTAAAAAATTAAATTAATTAAAAAATAAATAGTAGTGATCATCCGACGAGATACAAATATGTGTGGTCTATTAATTTTTATAAATATGTAAAAAATAAATACATAGATAAGAAAATTAATTAAAAAATAAATTAATAAGGGCACAATAGTATTTTTAGGTAAGACGGGGACCAAACGCGCAACAAAAATAAACAGTAAGGACCACTTAAGTTAAAAAAAATAAGTTAGCGACCAAAACCACAAATTCACCCAAACCACAGGGACCATTCATGTAATTTAATTTTTACTTTTCGTTTTGTTCATATTTGGATAACAATTTTTTTTTACATATCTAGGTAACAAACTTGTTGAAAACGTTCACTACTAGAATTTAACCTGCTATAGCAGGTCATAATGATCATATGTGCACACTTCCAAAAAGTTTGTCACCTACATATATACAAAAAAAAAAAAAAGATAATTACCCAGATGTAAACATACTGAAAAATTAATTACCTTGATAAATCATATTCCCATTGAAAAATACATTTTCGTATAATTAAAAGATATTTTTACGCTAACATAACGTTTTGTTTTGTGTGGTTTAAACGGAGTCGACTTGACCTCACAGCAAACCCTTCAGTCGAAGCTCCTACGAAATGGACGAATACAGGAAGCTTATTCAAGAAGCATTTGGAGAGTCGTCGGAAGATAGCGACGACGACGATCATGGACAACAGATGGAAGGCTCGAACATTTCGGTTGAAGCTCAATATGTATTTGGGGAGAACCCTAAATGGGAGCGAATCAGTGAAATCAAGGGGCTAAGCTTATGTAGAGAGTTTTTAACTTCTGATCAACAATCAACTTTGCTAGCATCAATCCTACAAGGTTTTCATCTTATTTTACATCTACTATATATCTCAGTAATTTCGTTTTGATCTAACGAATAATAAGTCGTCATCCTTAGCTTTAAATTGGAAAATTACTAGGTTCCGGAAGAAGTTTACATTTTGATTCTTACTGTCAAACATAATAATTATTTTCAGAAGTAAAATTTGTGAATTGTATTGCACGATATACAACAGCATGTGTGTTGATGATGGTACAATCTGTAAGTTTCGATGCAGTTACGAAATTTGTAGGAAATTAGGACCAAATGCAATACTTTCTATAAATTTTGATCTGGTTTTAAACGATCTCTCAAAAGGTATAAGTTATAAGAACAACTTCATATCTGGTATTGAAAAGTAAGCAGCTCTGACATATTTCTTGAAAGCCTTGTATGGGGTATGCATGTCTTCCTGAATGTATTCTATTTTCAGAGTTTATTGGAAAGTGTCACTGATGGAACCTTATTTGTTCTACCATATGACTTATTGCTGCAGAAGGATGGTTCAGTGAGGCCTCTCACAATCAGGTTTGACGCGTGACATAACAACTTAAGCTTTCAGTCACATGGTCAGATCTCCTTATTGTTGTTAACCTGAGATCGGAAGCATAAATCATATTTGGTGTTACTCCCCCATTGCAGGCTATGAGGTTTGGTGATCTTCCACCGTGGGCTAAGGAGCTTTCAACAGGTATACATGAAATTATCGAGTATAGTGATTATGATCCTGAATCCATGGAAACGGATAAACAAGAATTCATATTTCCATCAGAGCTACTGAAGAGGGAGCCTCTCTTTAATCAACTGATTGTTAACTCATACCAGCCAGGTGAGGTGCGCCATGATCTTTTTCATATTTTTGTTTCACCAGCTATTGAGATGAGAGAAAAGAAGGAAGTTTTGAGCAGGTCATAGTTTATATAATCATTTTCAGGGAATTTGTGCACATGTGGACCTGATGCGGTTTGAAGATGGGATAGCCCTAGTTTCCCTAGAATCATCCTGTGTGATGCATTTCAGCCGTGTACATGAATCTACAAATGAAAACAAGATCCCTGTATACTTGACACCTGGCTCCTTACTGTTGATATCAGGTGAAGCCAGATACAAATGGAAACATGAAATCAACCGCAAACCTGGTTTCCAGAAATGGGATGGCCTAGAAATCCATCAGAAAAAAAGAACCTCCATTACATTAAGAAAGCTTTGCAAGACTGAGTAGTAACTAGTACGTACTGCATTCCCAGGTTGTACCCTTTATAAAGGGTATGAAATAATGCAGTAATGTTAAATTAATATAGACTTGACATACAAGAGTGCATATCATGCGTGTATCAGGCTTCTTCCCATATTTATTTTCAACCTTTTGAGGTCTGTAATGAATAATGATATTGATGAGAGTAATTGACGAGTTTAATCATTAATGTGATGAGATTAGATGCCTGTATCGTATCTTTGATTTTATTTTTATAAGAAGAGTCTCCGTCCCCAGAAAGGATGACAACAGTCCAATCCACATATATAATCAGCAAGAGAACAAGAGAAAAATAAAATAAAAAAATCTTGTTATTTTAGTTTGAATTAGGGATCATCTTTGCAACAAAAACAACTTTGGACCAAAGTTGTTATATTTTGGTAAACTTTTTGGGGTTTTATCTAGAAAAATCTCGTTATTTTAGGAAATCTTTTGATAGAGTTTATTTTTTTTTTAACAGAAAATACTGATTATTTAATATTTTGTTCAAATTAACAAAAAAGTTTTTTATTTTTATTTTAATAGAAAATGACACCTTATCATGTGCATATTTTTCTGTTAAGGAAAATTAAAACTTTATCAAAAAATTTTCTAAAATAATAAGATTTTTCACTATACTCTTAGTATAATATATAATCCACAAAATGGGAGCTTTAGCTTTATTTAGAAACGAAAGATATTATTTTTTTGGACTGAAACTGGAAGTAGTTGACAGTCGACATAATAGGCTTGGGCCTTGGTCGAGTTATCTTTTAATCCCTTTACTTTGTCCTTTAGATCTTACATATCCCAATTACTATATACTATATTATGTTATTAATAATAGGATTTTCTAACATGTATGTATCCTAAGATAAGAAGTATTAATTATGAAAAATATTACAATAATTAAATTTAAAATACATTTGTTATGAAAATTATTAATGACTTCATATTTAATTATAGTAATATTTTTTATAGTTAATATATTTTATAATTAATTATGATAATATATATCATGAATTAATGATTGTTATATGTGCCTTAGGTAAGGCACATATTAGAAAATCCCATTAATAATAATAATTTCTCACATCAATTTCTATATTAAGACTACGTATGATTCCATTATCATTTCAAATCCAACAACTCTCGTATTACTTCCAATCCAAGTAATAAAATAAAAAGATTTGAATTGAGATTTTACAACTTACATGATCTAAAGTCTGTGACTATAGGTCAAAATAGAAGACAGTCTGTCAGACGTGGCATCTCCATTTATCGTCCAACCATATATGAATAAAATTAATCTACAACACAGTTTGCCTGCGAAGATAGCTGATTCATCACTTGCGGTATGCCGATATATTCTGTCCGTCTTCTTGGTCTTTCTCTTGTTCTAGTGATTGGAAATGTAGGATTGTTGGTATTTGGTGTGGTTGATGGGTATGGAAGAGGTGATTTTCCGGCTGAATTCGTTTTTGGTTCCGGAACTTCCGCTTATCAGGCATTTGCTCTTAACTAGTTAATATCTTGGATCTCGTTTGAAGTTTGAAGTGTGTCATGTGTGTGTAGTCGACTGGTGTCTAATATATATATATATATATATATATATATATATATATATATATATATATATATATATATATATATATATATATATATATATATATATATATATATATATATGTGTGCGTGTGTGTGTGTGTGTGTGATAAGGTCGAAGGAGCAGCGCTGGAAGACGGAAGGAGTTTCAGCATTTGGGACAGCTACGCTCATTCAGGTAATAACAATAATTAATATACAGTAGGATTAATTCATGTCGGAATCTCAAAATTGAGTTGGATGGTTTCCTCCACCAGTGACGGTGAACAGAATTTTGGGGTGTTTGGTTGTAAGTTTTCACTATATATACTATACACACAAAAGAATTAAGATAAGCATTTGGTTTAATATTCATTTCATCCACTTCATTTTGGGCATTCATCTAAATTCGTCTCCATCTTCAATAATCAATATAGCTCCAAACCAAGTGTCCTGTATCTTGGATGACCCACTTCAACATTTTTAGTGCAGCTTTAGCACAACGCACAGTGATGGAGGGCAATTAATATGCTGTTAGGAGTTTAGGGCTTCTTGAAAATTCAGTTATGGGGATACACATTAATGGAGTCTATTTGTTCAGAAACAGAAAGCATCTAATTTGAATGATAGCTAGCTAGCTTGAGGATTTTCCTAAGATGAAATATTTAATATTATATTATGGATCCAAAATCTCAGGCTTCTGCGATGGAGCAAACGGAGACATAGCATGTGATGGGTACCATAAATACAAGGTACAGCCCACAACTCATCTTTATAATGCATATATATTAATTAATCCAGAACAGCTTATGTTTAAGCAGATGCTGGCTTCAATCTTCATACAAGTAGTCAAAATATATAAATGCTAGAAATTTGAGTTGCTGCTTAGCTTGTTAACTAGAGCTAGCTAGCTAGTGCAGGCAGGCAGGCATGTAGCTTTGATATCCTCCTAATGTTGCAGGAAGACATTGAACTTATGGCAGACACAGGTTTGGAAGCATTTAGATTTTCCATTTCTTGGTCCAGACTCATCCCAAGTATGTTTAGTTACACTTATATGATGAACATAATCACAAAATTACTTGGGCCATGTATATATGATTCTTTCTTATTTAATTTTAAACAGATGGAAGAGGATCCGTCAATGTAAAGGGCTTACAATTTTACAACGATTTCATCAACAGGCTCATCGCCCATGGTTAGACATAATTAGTAATAACTGCAACTGATTTATTTAGTCGGCAATTGTTTGGTTAATTATATTTATTTATTCAAATAAATATTATATATGTCAATGAAAACTAAATTTACAAACAATGCCTAGCTAATTGAGTTATTCGTGTTAGAAAATCATGGGACCATTATGTAAATGAACATATATATTGTTATCATTTAAATCCAAATATTATGGCAAGTGTATAAGATTGTTGATGGACCGATATTCACTTACCATTTGTGGCTTGAGTTCCCGGTTTGACTCAAGATCCTCAAGATCCCTTCCATCTCTCACATTAGGGTTTATCTCCATCTATAAATATATGTGATGAGGAGCAAATCAAAGAGGATGAAATTAATTCAAAATTCGTTTTTCTTGAGTGCAAAGGGTTCTTAGAGTTGTCTTGAGATCAACTGGAAAACCAAGCTTGTTCTTCAGATCCAAAAGCTTCAATGGAAGCAGGTACACTATCTCCTTCTACTATTTTCTTTTATCCAGATTCGAGTATGAAGGTCCGACCTTGAAAGCTTCCGCATATATAGAATAAGTGAATAAAAAATACAAACAATTGGTATCAGAGCTTTCTCGAATTTGGTACTAGAAATTTTATGTTGGTTTAAGATCTATAACGTTATATTTAAACATGCCTGGTTCTTCTTCATTACGTCGTAAATTATATATTTCATTATATGCTTGATTTTTCTTGACTATTGATTGAAAGAAGGGATCGCACGCTTGTTAAATATTTTACTATTGTATGTACTCAATGCAGCAACTTTGTTTGACAACCCATTGTCTTTTCTGCTTGCTTTTCTGACGTTATTTTTCAATTGTCAATAAACACTTTTCTACTATTGATTTTGACAGTGACCATTCAATGCTTGAAACTTGTACTATATGCACTAAATTTCATTAATATATAATCAGACTTTGGTTCATGTTTTGGTTGAATTTACTATTTAGCTAAATTCATTGTTCATAATATTGTCCTGCGTGCAAAACTAATATTATTTAGGTAATTGGTTAAGATTTGTATGTGAGATTATTTTTTTGTCTATAATATTCGACTTATTAAAATAACGGCAACATTTATTCTCTTTTAAGTTATTATACATAGAGTACCTTCATTGATAAATCAACTTTATTTGTTTATTTTATTTTGGTATCGTTGTAAAAGAAAAAATAAATAAATAAATAAAATACTTCTATGTTATTAGCGTTTTATTTGTTTAAGGCTTTATTGTGTAAATTAAAACTGCATGGTTACTTTAAAGTACTCAATTTAATAGCAGTTTATTATTGTCATGTTCAAGTTAATAAATCTGTATTTTATTTTTTTTTACCCGGTCATTTTTTTTATGGTTCGTCAATAAATTCAGTTGTGACATTATTTATTTTCTTAGAAAATTAATTTTCTAAGAATCTAAATATTACGGTTTATGTGTTTATTGTTGCGGATACCAATCGACCCAAAGGTAGGTTGATATTTTGTCGAATAAACATGTATATGATAATGAATATGCGACAATTATTTTGGTTACATGTCGTTAACAGGTCAATCCAAAGAGGGGCTTGTTAAACGGGATGAATTATTGTCAAATATTATTATTAAATTTTATGATTTATGTGTTTGTCAATGCGGATATTAATCGACCCAAAGGTAGATTAATATTTGGTCGGATAAACATACATATATATAGTGGTAAATATATGATAATTTTTGGGTTTCATGTAATTAATTAGTCAATCCAAAGAGGGGCTTATTGATTAACATGTTTTATTGTCAATATTTTTACTACTTAAACAAGATATCTCTTAAAAGTTAATATTGTTGTTCAAAGACTTGATATTAATGTTGTGTTGATACCTTGTGATGTCATAATTTGTTTTTTATTGATTATAATTATGGTTTAATGAGCATAAAAACTAATTAATATTTTGTTCTAAAATACAGCAAATGCTAATTGTGGTATAATATCTTCCAACTTGAATCACATTCCAGTTCTCAATGGGACTAACTTCAAGGAATGGAAAAAGAACATTATGTTAGTTCTCGGCTGCATGGATCTTGACCTTGCACTTCGGATTGAGCAACCCATCCTTACTGCCACAAGTTCAGTGGAGAATAAAAGGGATGCTGAAAAATGGGATCGCTCAAATCGCATGAGTCTAATGATCATTAAGCGCGGCGTTCCAGAAGCCTTTAGAGGTGCAAACGAGCAGTCTATTAATGCTAAAGATTTTCTTGCTGAAATTGAACAACGTTTTGCAAAAAATGATAAGGCTGAAACAAGTACCTTTTTGCAAAAGTTGATTTCAATGAAGTATAAAGGCAAAGGAAACATAAGGGAGCACATCATGGAGATGTCTCATCTTGCTTCAAAACTTAAGGCATTGAAACTAGAAATTTCTGATGATTTTCTAGTTCATTTGGTATTGCTTTCTCTTCCTGCACAATTTAACCAGTTCAAGGTCAGTTACAACTGCCAAAGGGACAAATGGACTCTTAATGAGCTCATTTCCTTTTGTGTGCAAGAAGAAGAAAGGATGAAGCATGAAACAACTGAAAGTGCTCATTTTGCTAGTACTTCTAAAGGTAAGGGCAAAAGAAATAGAAAAGAAGCTGCTAATAAGGGACCAATGCAAAAGAAACAACATTTAGGCAATGATCAAAAGAAAAAGGAATCGGGACCTCCTAAATGCTTCTTTTGTCAAGAGCCTGGTCACTTGAAGCCGGATTGTCCAAAATACCACGCTTGGCGAGTTAAGAAAGGTATAATCCGTGCTTTGGTCTGTTCTGAGGTTAATTTAGTTTCTGTACCTAGAAATACTTGGTGGATAGATTCTGGTGCTACTACTCACGTAAGTGTTTCTATGCAGGGTTGCCTGAACTACCGAAAACCAAATGATGTTGAAAGATATATCTATGTGGGTGATGGCAAGCAGGTAGAAGTCAAAGCAGTTGGCACATTTCGTTTATTACTAGATACTGGTTTTTATTTGGATTTTCAAGACACTTGCATTGTACCGTCTTTTAGACGCAATTTGGTTTCTGTTTCTAAATTGGATAAATCTGGTTATTATTGTTCTTTTGGAAATGGTGAATTTAGTTTGTCTTTAAATTCAAATGTTATTGGTACTGGTTCTCTAACGTATTGTGATAAGTTATATATGCTTGATATTGTTACTTCATATAATGAAACCTTGCACGTGGATTCACGTGGTACTAAGCGAAAATTAAATAATGAAAATTCAGCAACATTATGGCACAAACGCTTAGGCCATGTCTCAAAAATGAGAATGGATAGGCTTGTGTCAGATGGAGTGTTAAATAACCTCAACTTCACAGATTTGAAAATTTGTGTTGAATGCATCAAGGGCAAACAGACAAAAACCAAAAGATTAGATGCCACTAGGTCTTCAGATGTCTTAGAATTGATACATACAGATATTTGTGGACCATTCCCTTCGGCTTCTTGGAATGGTCAACTATATTTTATATCATTCATAGACGATTACTCACGTTATGGGTATCTATATCTTATTCATGAAAAATCTCAGTCACTGGAAGTGTTTAAATCTTTTAAACTTGAAGTTGAGAACCAACTTAATAAAAAGATTAAATGTGTTAGATCTGACCGTGGTGGTGAGTACTATGGTAGATATGATGGATCAGGTGAACAACGTCCAGGACCTTTTGCTAAATTCCTAGAGGAATGTGGAATCGTCCCTCAATACACAATGCCAGGTTCGCCTAGCATGAATGGTGTATCTGAAAGACGCAACAGAACTCTTAAGGATATGGTAAGGAGTATGATAAGTCATTCTACTTTACCAGAGTCACTCTGGGGTGAAGCACTTAAGACTGCAGCTTACATTCTTAATAGAGTACCAACTAAAGCAGCTGTTAAAACACCTTATGAGCTTTGGACAGGGAAAAAGCCTTGTTTAACTCATCTTCGTATTTGGGGATGTCCAGCTGAGGCAAGGCCTTATAGGCCGAATGAAAAGAAATTGGACTCCAAAACAGTTAGCAGCTACTTCATTGGCTATTCTGAACGATCCAGGGGTTATAAGTTTTATGATCCTGCAACAAAATCAATTTTTGAAACAGGAACTGCAACGTTTTTTGAGGATGTTGAGTTTGGGGGGAGAAATAAGGTTAGAGACATTGTCTTTGAGGAGGAATCAATCTCGATTCCTACTGTTACTTTTGACGATACACAAATTAATGTGCCTGTCGGAGAAGAAGTAATTCAGGAACCTCAACAAGACAATGTTAGTCACTCTCCTGTTCATAATGAACAACCTCAACAACCTCAACTTAGGAGATCCACTAGAGAAAGGAGAAGTGCAATCCCTTCGGATTTCCATGTATATCTCCAAGAAAATGAAGAACCAGATGGAATGATTGAAAATGATCCAATCAACTTCTCTCAGGCCATGCAAAGTTCAAATTCTCAAAAGTGGATTGATGCCATGAACGATGAGTATAAGTCCATGCAAGACAATAAAGTTTGGGAACTTGTTCCATTACCTGAAGGTACAAAGCCTATTGGTTGCAAATGGATTTTTAAGACCAAAAGGGATTCAAAAGGTAATGTGGAAAGACATAAGGCACGTCTTGTAGCTAAGGGCTATACTCAAAAGGAAGGAGTTGATTTTAAAGAGACATTCTCTCCGGTTTCATCAAAAGATTCTTTTAGGTTAATCATGGCATTAGTTGCACATTACAATCTTGAGTTACATCAGATGGATGTTAAGACAGCATTTCTCAATGGTGACATTGATGAAACTATATATATGGTGCAACCAGAAAACTTTGTATCGAAAGACTCAAAGGAAATGGTTTGCAAACTAAATAAATCTATCTATGGACTCAAGCAAGCCTCCCGTCAGTGGTACCACAAGTTTCATCAAATCGTTGTCTCATATGGTTTTGAGGCAAATATAGTAGATGATTGTGTATATCACAAGTTCAGTGGGAGTAAATACATCTTTCTGGTCTTGTATGTTGATGATATATTACTTGCCACCAATGATTTAGGGGTCTTATATGAGACCAAGAAATTTCTTTCAAAGAATTTTGAGATGAAAGATCTTGGGGACGCCTCATTTGTATTAGGAATCCAAATTCAACGAGACAGATCTCGTGGAATTCTAGGATTATCACAAAAGAGCTATATTGAAAAGATCCTTGAAAGATTTGGCATGCAAAACTGCAAACCAGGAGACACCCCTATTTCTAAAGGAGACAAATTCAGTCTCGATCAATGCCCTAAAAATGACTTTGAATTTAAAGAGATGCAGAAGATTCCTTATGCATCGGTTGTTGGGAGTCTTATGTATGCTCAAGTGTGTACACGTCCCGACATATCTTTCATTGTAGGGATGTTGGGAAGATATCTAAGCAACCCAGGTATGGACCATTGGAAAGCAGCCAAACGGGTTTTGAGATATCTACAGAGAACAAAAGACTACATGCTCACATATAGGAAATCAGATGTTTTGGAGATCATTGGGTATTCTGATTCTGATTTTGCTGGATGCCAAGACAGTTATCGATCCACATCAGGCTACATTTACTTATTAGCAGGAGGAGCTATTTCATGGAAGAGTGCTAAACAAACTTTAGTAACTTCTTCCACCATGGCGGCAGAATTTGTAGCATGTTTCGAGGCATCAGATCATGCAATATGGTTGCGGAACTTAGTCACGGGGCTGCGTATTATTGGTGTTGAAAGACCACTAAAGTTGTATTGTGACAATAAGTCAGCAGTGTTGTATTCCAACAACAACAGAAGTTCCACAAAGTCAAGGCATATTGACATTAAGTTTCTTATTGTTAAAGAAAGAGTGCAAAATGGAAAAATCGCAATAGAGCACATCGGGACAAACTCCATGATAGCGGATCCGCTCACAAAGGGATTACCTCCCAAGGTCTTTCATGAGCATACTACACACATGGGTGTGATAAATATTGATGATATTTTGTTTTAGTGGGAGTTTTTCAATTTATTTTTGGGTGCTTTATTTTGGTTTAAGAACAATTATGTTTTTCTGTACAGATTTAAGAATTCGGTAAATTTCATTATTAGTTGCATTTATTTGAAGTTTGATCGCACTTCAAGTTAAACAGGAACTCGTCGGAAATCAATTTTGATTTTGTGACCACGCATCATGTTTAATCTATGTCGTTAGTCATACTTATATATGTGACCATTGATGGTTTAGTTACGTAAATTGTAACAAAGACCGCATTGATCCTATACAATTATGATTAATGGACAAGACTGTTTAAGGGTACCAATATCATGATAACATACATTAAAGCGCTAATATGGTTATATGTACATTTATATATTCATGGTCCAGTGGGATATTGTTAGAAAATCATGGGACCATTATGTAAATGAACATATATATTGTTATCATTTAAATCCAAATATTATGGCAAGTGTATAAGATTGTTGATGGACCGATATTCACTTACCATTTGTGGCTTGAGTTCCCGGTTTGACTCAAGATCCTCAAGATCCCTTCCATCTCTCACATTAGGGTTTATCTCCATCTATAAATATATGTGATGAGGAGCAAATCAAAGAGGATGAAATTAATTCAAAATTCGTTTTTCTTGAGTGCAAAGGGTTCTTAGAGTTGTCTTGAGATCAACTGGAAAACCAAGCTTGTTCTTCAGATCCAAAAGCTTCAATGGAAGCAGGTACACTATCTCCTTCTACTATTTTCTTTTATCCAGATTCGAGTATGAAGGTCCGACCTTGAAAGCTTCCGCATATATAGAATAAGTGAATAAAAAATACAAACAATTCGTTTTTCACCCAACAGAATGCAAATGCTGATTATATTATGCAGGAATACAACCACATGTTACATTAAATCATATAGATCTACCGCTCATACTTGAAGACGAATATGGAGGATGGCTTAGTAGAAAATCAGTGTACATATTCTTTGTAACTAAAACCGTGGTTCCATCCTTATATCATATATATGTGATGCTCGTGATAAAATTCAATATGTAATTAATTAAATGCAGGAAAGATTTTGTTGCATTTGCTGATGTATGCTTCAGGGAATTTGGTGATCGGGTTTTGCATTGGACTACCTTTAATGAAGCCAATTTATATGCTTTAGGTGGTTATGATACAGGCAGTTCACCTCCTGGACGTTGTTCTTCCCCATTTAGGATGATTAACTGCAGCAGAGGTGACTCTACTTATGAGCCATACCTTGTTGCTCACCATTTTCTTCTGGCACATGCATCGACTGTAAGACTCTACTGGGGAAAATACAAGGTAAAACTCTGGCCCCTTCCACTATATTCAAGCTTTCTGGTTCATGCTATATATGGAAATTTATTTACCACAATGGAACTTGATGGAAGAAGATCCTAACATGAACTATATATATATATCATCTTTTTGGTGAAAAAACAATAAAGAAACATGCATTCATTATTTGTTGGCTAAATATCAGTGATGATCGATGCAGCATGGTTCTGTTGGAATAAATCTCTTAGCCTTTTGGTTTGAACCTTATACAAATACAATACAAGATGTCAAAGCTACCCAAAGAGCCAATGACTTCTATTTGGGTTGGTGAGTTGCTACTACATAAAGTTTAAGCAAAAGCTATATGTTGCAAAAATGGGCAATATGATTACACATTAGCTAGGCGACTTAAACTCATTTCATTATTTTGTTAAGTCATTTAATTAAGAGCAAATACATTCCAAATCGGCTTTTGGCAAATGGGTCGAAATTACCACTTGTAGACCTCTACCAAAAGCTATTATTAATTAGAAACTCGCAGGGTCATATATACTGTTCAAAGGTTCAATTAATTTGTAGATAAATTAATTGTGTTGGCCTTTGAATCCAACTTCTGATTTGATATTTGTTTCATGGATCGATCCTACACCAGGTTTTTGAATCCTTTGGTGAACGGAGACTACCCAGACATAATGAAGAAGAATGCAGGCAACCGGATTCCAACTTTTACCAAACTTGAATCAGAGAGAATCAAGGGTTCATTTGACTTCTTAGGCATAAACCACTATACCACATTATACATCAAGGACAACCCCAATGATCTTGAAACTGATACCAGGGACGTTTATGCAGACATGGCGCTTATATGTATGTATCTACTTCATGATAGAAAATCACAAAAATGACCAAAAAAGGTAATTGCATAACACCAAATCACCACCTTTTCAATATCTATCATAAAGTATTCACCTATTTTGCGAAAAGAGGTTTGCTAATTTGTGAAGTAGTTTTTTTTTTCTGACATTATATTACGTGAACTTTATTTTGTTTTCGCAAAAAATACATAATTTTCATTTTGCAAAAAAATAAAATAAAATAAAAAATCTCAGAAGTGATTAACATAGGCATTTATTTATAATGTAAACAAAAATAGGTCTATTGAAACAGTTTTGTTTGACTTTCAAGCATTTGATTCTCATGAGATGCCATATTGTTCAAGTCTCATGGAGGACTGTTTACTTCGAAATTTAAAGGAACTTGAAAATATGTGGAAGAAGGTCGATCGTCTTTAAAAGGACTCGAATATGGGACCTCGATCACTGCTTGAAACCCAAACTTCTCTGTGTACATTTCAAAGAAATATCTCTTATTCAATTTAATGAATCTTTAATTTCGCAAGATGACGTCATTTTTGTGAGTTACGACGTAAAAAAACATTTACAGAAAAATAAATTTTATTTTCACAAAATAAACAAATATTCATTTGAAATGTAAACAAAAGTACATAGGAACAACAAAATTGGTGAAGATGTTTGGCTATCAAATACCTTAACAATTTTGCTAGACCTAATATTGTTTATAAGAAATATTTATCTTATCAAATTTCGTGTAACTTATATTATTTCACGAAAATGAAATTATGCTTTCACGAAACATAATATATATCATTTGCGAAAAAAATCATAATTTTCTAGAAAAAGTGAAGTTTGTGAAATATGATGTCAGAAAATGCTATTTCACGAATCAAATATGCAGGTGGCTATTTGGTAATAATAAAATTTTAAAAAAAATGGTCATCTGGTGTTATGATCCTTACCTTTGTGGTCATTTTTGGGATTAATACATTCATTTAACTGTTGCATTGTTGTCTCGTTTGATATATGAAAGTAATTAAATTAGATGACCCCAATAATTGCACTTGTCTGAAGCAACCAAAATTGGCACTTAAATTTGCAATCAGTACTGTGTAGATAAAAATAAAACTAATACTAACATGCATGCTGCGTGCATTTCTCTACTTCGTGCGGATAATTGCAGACAGTGGAATTGAATTCCCGATAACCGAGGTAATGTTTTTGCTATTCTTTTCTCTTTATTAATTATTTCCCTATATCCTCCTCTCGTACTAAATAAATCTCTTATTTTTATTTTGTATTATTTAAATCTCAGTTCAGTTCCCCGTGATTCCAATCGGTCTGGAAAAGCTCCTTAACTATCTGAAGGAAGAATATGAGAACCCTCCTGTGTACATCCATGAAAATGGTATACATCAAACATGCATATTAATTAATTAATTAATTAGTACTTCAAATAAATATATGAGTGTATGCATGATATATGGACATTGACTTCTGATAGGGCAAGTACCAGGGCCGGCCGTTGATTTTGAAGGCCCTGTGCGACGAGAAAAAATGGATCATATATATATATATATATATATATATATATATATATATATATATATATATATATATATATATATATATATATATATATATATATATATATTACAAAAATAAATTTAAAAAGTGAATTGTCATAATGGAAAATTAAAAATAATTTAATCAATAGAAAAAAGATATTTACAAATTTATAAACTGATTTAATAAACAAAATTGCAAGAGAGGGTAAATTGTAAAGCATGAAGCATAAATGAAGGGGTAAAAGTTTAACTTGGAGTATAATCCGTTTATTTAATTAAGCATTAATTATGATATGATGTAAATTTATAAAAGTTGAGGGTGGATTGTAAAACATTGATTATAAATGAGCAGAGGGAATTGTAGATTTATAAAAGGTATAAAAAATTAACGTACACCTGAATCGAACTACGGTTTACTTTAAATCATTGCGGCGCTTTAGCCAGCTCACCAAATCGTTCATACAATTATAATTTTATAAAACTATATATATATATATATATATATATATATATATATATATATATATATATATATATATCCTTAAATAGATAATCCGGCTAAAAATCGGGCCCTATTTTTTTCGGGGCCCTGTGCAACCGCACACCTTGCACTCCCTTAGGGCCGGCCCTAACAAGTACAAGCACGTAATGGAACATTGATGGACACCCCAAGGGTAGAGTACTTGCATGCATATATTGGTGCTGTGTTGGATGCAATAAGGTATGCCTCTTAAGAAATTAAAGGGCCGGCATGCATGTGGATGATGCTACTTTCTACGTACTCAAACCATCCTTATAAAAAAAATCCACCTGTAAATTAAGAGCTTTATGTATATATAGATGCATGATTAATGCTCATCTCGAGCTCATATGGTTCTTTTGGTCTATGACATGCATGGTAAATAACAGGAATGGATCAAACACGAAGGGATATTTTGTCTGGTCCTTCTTTGATCTCCTTGAGATGTTGGGTGGCTATAATTATGGTTATGGTCTCTACTACGTTGACCTTGATGACAAGGAGTTGACACGATATCCTAAGCTCTCTGCACACTGGTATGCCAATTTTTTGAAAGGAAACAACGTCAACGTCTCTGCCATAATTCCATACTTGAAGGTAAAAGACTCTTTTTCTAATTAACATCATTAATTAGCTTTTGTCTTAAGTGTTAGATAATTATGGGACCACTTCATATATATGTAATGTTATCATGAAATCAATTTATTATGGTAAGAATATAAATTGTTGATGGACCGATTTATAGAATATTTACTTACCATGTGGGTTTAGTTTCCGGTCTGACTCGAGATCCTCAAGATCCCTTCCATCTCTCACATTAGGGTTTATATCCATCTATAGATACATGTGATGAGGAGCAAATCAAGGCACACGAAAATACACTAAGAAATTTGTATGGTTCATTGCTTAGGGATTTTAGAGAGAGTTCTTCAGATCAACTGGAAAACTCTTCCTAGTCTCTAGATCTGAAAATCTCAATGGAAAAGGTATGTAATCATTGTTTCATGTATAAGTTTTCTTTTAATTAGATTCGAGATTAAAGATCTTCATATTATGCTTCCGCGTTTATGTTTTTGGTTATCTAAATAACCAACAATTGGTATCAGAGCCATACTCGAATCTGTTATCAGAAATTGTGTGATGGTCTTAGTCCTTTTGATCTTTAAATGAAAACATACCTTATTGTCCTCGTTGCTTCAAAATTGTTTTATGCAGTGGCGGATTTAAAGGGGTTCCGGGGTGGCACCGGCAACCCCTATCGTGCAACCCTAATCTTCCCGTGTGCAACCCCTACTATGAAATCCTGCGTCCGCCCCTGGTTTTATGTATTGTACTTTCGTATCCGACGATGAGGGAAAAAGAGGTTTGAGATATTTCATTTTTTGTTACTTCTTGAGATCAAGAGTATATGTTGTGTTTTTTTTTCTTCAACAGATTCTAAAGCTTCGAATAATTTATGGACCAATGGTTATATGATATCCATAGCTGGTTATTATTATTATTATTTTTATTTGAGTTTGCTAGACCGTGCCTTTTATGTGTCTTGATTACCTTGATAACAACACATTTGGTTTAAGGCTTCCTTTAATATTAGTTTACTGTATTGAGTTGTACTAGAAGCAAGATTGTGTGCATATATTTTGTACCTTGAGTTTGACTACTGGAACTTTGCTTTACTGATTTTACTGTTTGGTGTATTGGTAAATGAAATCAGGCCTGTTAGGCGTTACCAAAAGTGACCATACTCCTTTGATAAATAATAAAGCTACTCTATTATTTCCTTTGTTGACGTGACCCTACTCCTTTGGATTTATATTTGAAGTTTTAATCACTATTTTTTCTTTCAATTACACCCATTTGTGTGTGTATGCATGGGACAATTAGTTATGTAAACATTTATGACATTAACAAATTATAAACTTAACAATTATTCATGGTGTTGAATGAAATTTAGGATAATGTTTATTAAATTTGTTATATCATGGCCACAAAACTAATTCATGTTTACATCTGGAAATATATGCTTGTCTACATATCAACGTTTATTTTGATATGTTTAGTTGGCCAATAAATTACACTTATGAAAACGGTAATTTTGATACCGATTAATATTTGTAATTTTTATTTATTTATTTATTTATTTTTGGTTATTGATAAATTTCATTTATGACCTATTATTTATTTTAAGGATAAATTAATTGACACAATATATCGCCAAAGTGATATCTTTTGTGAAAATTAATTTACAAAGAACTTAATTTGTATGGTTTGTGTTTATTATTGCGGATATTAATCAACCCAAAGGTAGGTTAATATTTGGCCGGATAAACACATGTTTGATGATGAATATATGGCAATTTTTTAGGTTACATGTCGTTAATAAGTCAATCCAAAGAGGGGCTTATTAATTGACATGATATATTGTCAATTCTTATTATCAAAATTTATAGTTTATGCGTTTATTAATGCGGGTATTAGCCGACCCAAAGGTAGACTGATATTTGGCCGAATAAACATATATGTAGTGGTAAACATGTGGTGATTTTTTGATTCCATGTGATTAATAAGTCAATCCAAAGAGGGACTTGTTAATTGACATGATTTATTGTTAATGTTTATCTCTAAAACAAGGATATCTCTTGCAAGTTAGTATTAGTGTCCAAAGACTTGATATTAATGTTGTGTTGATACCTTGTAACGATGTCATAAATTGAATATATTGATTACGGTTTATGGATTAGTGAGCATAAAAATAGATTTGCCTATATTCTCGAAACATAAATTTGAATTATGGTATTATACCTGTTAACATTGATCACATTTATGATTCTTACTCAATGAGATTAACTTTAAGGAATGTAATGAGGACATTATGTTAGTTCTCAATTGCGTGGATATTGACCATTCATTTTGGATAGAGCAACATTCTTTGAGGATGTTGAGTTTGGGGGAGAAACAAGGTTAAAACATTTTCCGTAAGGAGGGATCAATCTTGATTCCTATTATTGCTTTTGATAGTATGCAAATTATGAATCAGTGATCGAGAATGTTTTTCAATCTCCTATTTTGAATACACAAACTCAACAACCTCAACTTTGGATATCCTATGCGTGGTACCACATTTTTCATCAATTTATTATCTCTTTTAGTTTAGGGTAAATATAGTAAATGGTATTGTGTATCACATATTAAGTGGGAGTAAATTTATCTTTCTGGTTTTGGGTCGATATCTATGCAACCCAAGTTTGGATCATAAGAAAGTAGCCAAATGAATTTTGAGATATCTATATATGACAAAAGGCTATATGCTCAACTATAGGAAATCAGATGTTTTGAAGATCATTTTTATTAAAAATCTGATTTTATTAGATGCCAAAATGGTTACCGATCCATATCGAGATACTTTTACATTTTAGCATGATGAGCCACTTCATGGAATAGAATTCGGTAGCATCTTCCATAATGGCATCATAATTTATAGCATGGAATATGTTTGCGAAAATTTGTCGACCACGCTACACATTATTGGTATTGAAAGACCATTAAAGTTGTGATAATAAATCAGCAATGTTATATTCCAATAACAGAAGTTCTATTAAGTCAAAGCATATTGACATCAAGTTTCCTTCTGTTAACACAATAGTGCAAATGGAAATATATATAGCACATATGAACAAACTCCATAAAAGCGGATCCGCTCATAAGGGATTACCTCCCTAGGTCTTTCATGAGCATACTACACACATTGGTGTGATATTTGGTTTTAGTGGGAGTTTTATGGTGCATTATGTCTTGTTTAAGAATATGTTTTTCTGTATAGAATTAAGAATTCGGTTAACTCCATTATTAGTTGCACTTATTTGAAGTTTAATCTTACTTCAAGTTAAAAAGGAACTCGTTGGAAATCTATTCATATTTTAAAACCACACTTCATGTTTAATCTATGTCATTAGTTATATATGTATATGTGACCATTGATAGGTTTAGTTACGTAAATTGTAACGAAGACCTCTTTGATCCTATACTATTATGATTAGTGGACGAGATTGTTTAAGGGTACCAACATTATGATAACATTCATTAAAGCGCTTATACGGTTATATGTACATTTATATATTTGTGGTCCAGTGGGAGATTGTTAGATAATTATGGGACCACTTCATATATATGTAATGTTATCATGAAATCAATTTATTATGGTAAGAATATAAATTGTTGATGGACCGATTTATAGAATATTTAATTACCATGTGGGTTGAGTTCCCGGTCTGACTCGAGATCCTCAAGATCCCTTCCATCTCTCACATTAGGATTTATATCCATCTATAAACACATGTGATGAGGAGCAAATCAAGACACACGAAAATACACTAAGAAATTTGTATGGTTCATTGCTTAGGGATTTTAGAGAGAGTTCTTGAGATCAACTGGAAAACTCTTCCTAGTCTCTAGATCTGAAAATCTCAATGGAAAAGGTATGTAATCATTCTTTCATGTTTAAGTTTTCTTTTAATTAGATTCGAGATTAAAGATCTTCATATTATGCTTTCGCATTTATGTTTTTGGTTATCTAAATAACCAACATTAAGTACTAATGTTGTTGTTACGGTCATTTTTCATCATCATAACCACATATATATGTATAAGTGCTACTACCATGTTGAGTGTTGACCATACTTGGTAGCATGTAATTTGTTTAGTGGGAACCAAGTTACACCATATTTTTACAATATGAATAGCATGTAATTTGTTTACATGGATACCCTATCATTAGTTTATAATTTCAATATTTTTCAATTAATATATTATAATGATAATTTTTTATTTTTTTACATATCCAATGACAATACCAATAAAATTACCGCTCGTTGACAAATGGATAACAAGCTGTGCCGCTAAACTTTTTTATATGGTAAAACCAATAAAATTAAAAAAGGGCAAATCAATAAAAAACCATTGTATTGTATTGCATTATTTTTTTTGCGATTCAATATATATTTTTTTGTTCTATCATTAAATCCATTCTATATTGAAACAAAGTTTCCACCTTTACCATTCTCACTCCCACTCCAAAAAAAAATGCTAATTAGTAATGAAAACAAAATGGTCACTAACAATAGGAATTGTCATTAAATTGTTTAGTGGCCAAATTTTGGATTGTCACTTTTTGTCACTATAGGTCTGTCACAAAACCTAATTAGTGACCTAAATATATAAGTGATCACTTTGCGTCACTATAGGTTTGTCACAAAACCTGATTGGTGACATATATATATATATATATATATATATATATATATATATATATATATATATATATATATATATATGTAAATATAAAAGTGAACCTAAATATATAAGTGGTCACTAAATAGTGACTAAGATATACTGGTTAGTAAATCAGATCAACCCGTTTCATCACTAATTAATGAACGTCGTCACTGTATTATCTAATTAGTGATCATAAAAATATCATCGTCTTATCCAGTTAGTGATCATAGAAAGTCGTCACTGACTTATTCAATTAATGACCATAAAAATATCATCACTGATTTATCCAATGGGTGACCATAAAAATTCATCATTGAATTTTGTTTTTATTTTTTGTATTTAACTCGTTT